AAAAAAAAAAAAAAAAAATATATATATATATATATAATATGTGTTTTCAGATACAACTTGATTTGTTAATTTGTATCTAATGTCATGAGATTTAAACATTTTTGAGTTTGACTTTAAGCATCCAAATGTACATAAATATACATGCATTGCTCAGACTAAACACATTTCACTTTTTATTTTGTAAAAGGGGGACTTAAAGTATATAATTCTCTCTCCAGTCTTTCTCACACTCATTTGTTCACTGTTCCTCACGTACACCACCCTGTCAGGCCATAGCTGTTGCTGAGGCACTGACAGGTTAATAATTAAAGTTAATGAGAACACGGGGGACAAACACACTCACACTCACAGCTGTGCGGTGGTCCTGGCCGATTGCCCTAGATTGCTCGCTTTGATCACCTCCACATGGGCGACACGGCTCCTACAGGTCACGATGGTGACAACCCCATGTCACATTCCTGTGCTCTCCTCCCTCATACCTGCCTATCTGCCTTTACGTCTCTTTCATACATCTCTCCTCACTTCATTTTCTTATCAGTTCATTCCTTTTGAGTCCACCCAAACCCCCCCCCGACTCATTTTTTACTCTCAGGATGTCAAAAGATCTGCGGTCATTACCATTTTCCCTTTTTACAGCAGCACTCAAGCCATCAGGCTTTACTATAGAGTACAGTAAGCCTAATCCTTCCCAGAATGCAGCAGTCAGTCAGTCACAGAGAACACACACCGATTTCTTGTAGTCTGTGAGGAATGTTTCTTAAGCTGACATAAAAATGTGATCAAAGTTATGAGCCAGTAACACTTCGAACATAAAGTTTGGTGTGTCCAGTATTACTTTAGCTACATAAGATTGCGATTTGAAGGCCTTTTAGTGTTCCTGGAACAAGACATCAGACCCTGCAAATCCTGTATGACGTGAACTTTGTGACTCTTGTACACCCTGGAGCTGCAAGAGCAATTTTTGCATTGTAATTGTCTCGAGGGCCATCATCATGTGCTCTGACTCACTACTCTCTCATGTTAAAGAGGTCATATCATGTTTTTTTAATTACATTTTTCCCCCTGAGGTACGTTTAAAGGAATTATCCAGCCAAAAATTGAAATTCTGTCCACATTACTCACCCTCAAGTTGTTCCAAACCTGTATGACTTCCTTTCTTCTGTGAAACATGAAAGAAGAAAGTTATTCAACTCAACAAAAAAAAACAGGTTCCTACAGTTATTACTTCAAAAGTTTTTCTGCACCAACAGTCACAATTTAGTTTTCATGAGCATTTTCTACTTTTCCTTCACTTTTTTTTTTAATCAAACAGCCAATTTTTTTGCTGCTTTGTCTTTAAAATTGCGGTCACATTAGCAGACTTTTGGTGAAATTTTGCAGGCAGAAAAGTCTCTTTTCTGTTGTCATTAGCGATATACTCTATAGAGCTCAACTCACTCGGAAGTCACTTTCAAACCAATCAGCTTTATTTCAACTCTGTGAATCAGCGTGACCAACTTGAACTCATTGCGAAATCTGCGTGGGGAAATCTGGCTGTAGAAGTTAATATGTTGTTAATTTTATTTGCTTATCAGTCCATAAGTGTCCATAGCTTTCAGTCCACAGCAGTCCATTTGCATTCAAAATTATCAGTCTGTCTGAGGTTGACTCGTGGCTGTTCACAGAAAGCATTTTTGTCTGCATAATTGTCTGTCTGTGTGCACAGCATACTGATGATTGGTGTAGCCACGAGCGCCACATTTTTAAGATTTGAAATGACGTTGACCTGTAATGTAATAATGTGTGTCAAAGCTGGAATGATAAATGTGCATGGAGATAGGTTTGCTCTGATATCAGTTTCTCCATCCTGTCCTCTTTCTAGGTGAGGAACTCCTCGACTCTCCTGTTCAGCACTCTTATTACACGGATATTCGGGGTGAAGAAAGGAAAAGATGAGCACTCCAAAAATAACAGGTGTGACTTCAGTTGTTTTATGTACCACTCCCAACTATACAGTAAAAAAAAAATGAAGCTGAGAACACTTTGAGAAGACCTATAGCAACCAGTTTCATGACTTTTTTTTTTTTTAACATTGTTTAACTCAATTTTTAACTTTAATTCAACTTAGAGAAAAAAATACTTGTATCAACTTAAGTTGAAGCCTGTGCTTTAACAATTAAAGGTCTGTGCTTTCAGCGAACATACACTGAACAAAATTATAAATGCAACACTTTACACGCTGTCTGCCATCTGCCCTGTACAGTGAAAACCGGGATTCATCCGTGAAGAGAACACCTCTCCAAAGTGCCAGACGCCATCGAATGTGAGCATTTGCCCACTCAAGTCGGTTACGACGACGAACTGCATATAAATGATCTGTGGAGTATTTTGAGCTGAAACTTCACAGACACATTCTGGGGACACCAGAGACTTATATTACATATTGTAAAAAGGGGCATAATATGTCTCCTTTAAGTGCAAGGGATTATGGGTGATCAGTGATCAAACTCAGCCTGGTAGTTTGACCAAAGTTGACATTGCAAGTTTTTGCTGTTTAATATTTGAAGTTGCTCATACTAAATGGCCTAAAAGACACTTTCATGTAGAGGCAACTTATTCTACAATCGGTCAACCTTCAAAATAGAGTTCGTCTGACAGAATGGAAGTTGGAAATCTTACAGTGTATTTGTCCTGTCGAGGTGGTTCACTAGGGGGCACTGAAGTTCTGTGCTTTTTCTCCTTCCAGTCTTCTATTCCAGTCATTAATCTCTGTCATATGTTGGCCTACAGCGCATGGACACCTTCCAGCTCCTTAAATGTTCTGGATGTATCTCCTAACTCCCTGATGGCCTTTGTTTGTTTGTGTTCTGCTTCTATCCTCATTCCACGTTTATCCACCCTGGCAAAGACTTACTCTTTTGTTCGCGGTTTCAACTCTTCCCTTTTGCTGATAGCCTCAAACTCTTGACAGGCATTGGAGCTGACGCACGGGCGGTGGGGGTTAACGCACTTCAACACATGTTTATCTTTTCCGTAGTAGAGGGAATGCTAACAACATCTTGCCCAAGCACGCACAAACGTTGACGCAATTCTTGCACACATTCACACCCTCTCCATTGCTGCCGGGTTGACCATGACCTCTGATCCCTGGCCACCGCAGGACAGGGCGGGTGGGCCCTCCTACTGCGTGGCCTGCTCTGCGTCAGCTCCCTAATCTCATCCAAACCAGTGGAGCGCCAGCTGTTGCAAGAATGTCCAGATGCATTCTGGGATTGAACGCAGAGAGGTCACGGATGGAGTGAGGAATGACTAAACAGGAGTGGTGCTGACCTCGTTGAAGAACAATAATGGCTCACTCATGAGATCATGGTTTGTTATGATTAATCGGTGTGCTGATTGGACTTAATTGGAAAATTGAGGGGGCCGTAATGGCACAACCTAGTGTGCTGGAATACCTCGCACTTCAAAGAGCCCATGTGGTTCCAGGTCAGCTGACCGTGGCAATTCACTTGAAGATTACCCTGGGATTTTCTAAAGAGACGCTGAATCTTTAGTGGTCACTGAAACTGAGCTTTGTCATAATCGCACTGAAATAACGCTGACTCTTTGGTCTGGCTCAGGCGCTCTGAACACCCATAGTCGGGACCGTTTACTTCCAGGATAACCCTGCCACCAGATTGTCCGACATCTCAACGTGTTTGTCTTTAGTTTTATGTGTTTGTATGGCAGGCATCTTCATCCTGCGGATCACGCAGCTATTGCTTAATGCTATTTTGTTTATTTTATCTTCCTGTGTGCAAGCGTTTTTGTGAGTCTTGTGATTTGTGCGCTGACATGTACTTGTCAAACATTTTGACAGGCTTCTTGTTTGCAATCAGTGTGTGTACTGTGGCTATGTTCAGAATAGCATACTATCTCACTATTTCTGCAGCATAGAGTATGTGTACTGTGCACAGTATGCAAATTTTCGTTTTGCACGGAAAAAAGACTGCATTCTCCAAATTGCAAGGTGCACCCCATCTCACATACTTCTGCACTATTTTTTGCTATGAATTCACTTCATTCTAATATGCTGATTTCTTACTATCACTGTTGAAAACAGTGTTGCTTAATATTTTTGTGAAAACAGTAATACTTAAGAAAGTTTAAAAGAACATTAATTTAAAGATTTTTGTAACCATGTAAAAGTCTTTACTGTCAGTTCAAAATCTAGTTAAAACTTTCATGTTTCTTTAAAATAATTTTCACTCAGAAATTGCTAGTAATTTTCACAAATAATTACAATTACGTGTGTGTGTGTGTGTACGAGAGTAAGAGAGTTGTACAATCTTTTATTTGTTTATCAAACACACATTTGTTGAGCTTTAGTAGCTGTACTCTTCCAGATTCATTAATGTAAGTGGGGTTTGTTTATGTTTCTTGGATTGGTTTACTATCAAACATGTTTTACATTAGTTTTCATGTTTTGCGTAACTATAAAAAATATTTGACTTGATCTACTTACCATTATAACAATGATTACGGTGATGTTTTTTCTTTTTCTTTTTGTTTGTTTCTTTTTCTCATCAAATGAGTCAAATCACAGTTTTAAAAACAAATGATACACATCTTAGTTAAACACTAAAATGAAAAACAACAAAAGTCTTTAAACCATTACATAAAACAAATTTTGACGAAACAACTTCAGTTTATAAGTTTATAAACAAGACTAACAAAGTTGCTAGCATCTGATACCATCTTCTCACTCTTTAAACATTTGCCTTTGTTGTACTAACTTGTTTGACTATTTTGCTCTGCAAAAATGATACTTTTGTTAATTTGTGTTTGCTTGGTCTTATCAGAATACAGAGAGAGTTTGCTTGTTCCTCAGGCGTTTATTGGGTGACCTCAGTCATCTAGTGCACAATACAGGGAAAAAAAAAATTTGTTTCCTGTTTTCATGATCCGAATGTGCTTTACGTTACATAAACAAACTGGCTGAAGAAATACTGTAGTGTAGTGTGTGTGTGTGGTCAGCATTTGTGGTTGCAATGGCCCTATGCTTCACACTCAAATGCATTACACGTGATATGCTAACTTATATCACTTTACATTCATTTGTGAATGTAAGTAATGACAAACGGGAGTGGATAAAGACGGTTTGAGCTCGACAGCCTGCATTTATGGACATCTTGGAAGTGTTTTGTCAGGAAGACACTAATCCATACTGACGCTATGCAGGGTTGTGTTGAGCTTAACTGTAACCACATTTGCCCACGTCAGAGCTCATTTGTGTGTGTGTTGCTAGCATGCAGCATGTGGCCAGGTTGCAGACGAAGCTGACCCACCTTGTTACCATGACAGCGACCTGGCCTAAGTTCAGACCAGACTGTGTGCATTAGCGGTTGAAACAGGATGTGGTGTGTTTGTGTGTGTATTTTACATAGCTGAAGTCACAACGTGTGTTTGAAAACTTGGCTCTTGAGCTAAAGTTAGCCCTGTATAGGCTGTTTCAGTTAGACATTAAAAAAAAAGTTTTATTGGAAGGTCTATCTTAAACACAGAGGCTTAGCTAAATAAAGATACGTTTATGTGCGTCACTCACGCATACACTTTCACTGTCTGACTTGCCCTCTCTTAACACATACACATTTGTCTCGAGCGAGATTCCCAGGGTTTATTCCAGCCGCGCTGCTTTCTAAGGAATAAACAAGCCGTGTGTCCCTGCAGCGCTCCATCAGAGGCTGAGCTAATGAGAGCTTTATAGACCTGTAAAGAGCGCAGACTTTAGGAAGTGGTTTACAAACCAGACCTTTAAAGGTCTCAGTCTCTCTCTCCTCTCCTTGTGTCACTTAGGCTTTGTTCCAAAATCTAGTGAGCTGCCTACGTAGGCAGCACGTTCCTGACACAAAGGGGTTCCAAAAGGAAATGCCTTCTTTTGGCAGAATTGCATGTATCCATAGCATAGGGAATAATCCTATAATGCACTGTGATGTGAGATGACAATTACAAATATTTTTCATGGTAATATTTGAATTTGTTTACCCTGGAAAGCCTGACATATGCATTAGATCAGAAAAATCTGATTTTTTGTTTTTGTTTTTTTTGAGTATTATATGTGTTGTTTTTTTTGTTGAGTATCATATTTGATACATCAGGCTTTTATGGCTCATATAGTATGATATAGTGAGAAAGAATATGGAGCTCATACTCAAAGGAAAAAGCACCTACGTTTTATTCAGAGGCCCAAGCTGAGCAAAAATAAGCAATTTGGTGCAGCTGCTGATATTTATAATTAACTGTATTGCAGACTACTTACATTAAATGTATAGAACTCAATATCTCCCAGTAACATGTCTTGGTAGGATGATATTTAAAAGATTTTCAGATATTTTTGTATTTCTTTATTTTTAAACGTTGGTGCAATGTCTGCAGCTCTGCATGGAGGATAGACAGACGGACAGATCAATCAATTAATTTCCAACTAATCCTAAACTTTTCTTCACTGAATTGTGAAAAACTTTGTCCTCTTTTTCTGGCTCCTATTTTCTACACTGGTGAATTGCATTATTCTTGATAACTATATTTATTTATACCAGACATTTTATAACACACCGCTGCATGACATGATATCTTTATCTTAATTTCAGTCTGCTGTTACTATAGTAGCGAACGCAACATCGATTGAAGGATAAACCGCATGTCCTTATTTCACTGTTGTTATTTATATGGTGGTTAAGCAGACAGTTTGCTTCTTACATTCAGTATAACGGCATTAAAAGCAAGTCAAAGAGGGCAAGCTTTCAACTGAACTGCACACATGCATTTTAAAGATTTTCATCATGTTCTTGCTCCATCCATGCAATAAATGCACATTCTTGGAGGAGCAGGTTTTTCTAGCATATTTAATTCAACTTCTCAGGTTATTTCAATGTGTTATGACCTATTTCAGGGGTGGCCAAAATTACACTTTAAAATCAGTCAGACCTACAATTAAATATGAGGATACATATTCATGAAGATACATATTAAACCCATATTTGCACCCTTATAGTATGCAAATATTTCTGCCTTTTATCACTTATGCGATTGTCAACCTTTCAGACTGAAGCCACAATGTAGGTGTATAACATGTCTTTGTTTTCAGCTAATAAAAGAAAAATACAGTAATTTTCTGGAGTTATTTTATGTTTGGGAAGGGCTTTCTTTGCCTAAAATCTGATTGGGTGACTATGACTATATGCCAATACAAAATCACACTATTTAATTTAAAGGCATTAAATAACACATGCACAACAATTTCTGCAATATTTATATGTATTTTACATAATATTTACTAAAATAATTAGAAATATTTGAACCTAGATTAAAAATAAATCTGTAGATTAATCAAATGTATACTTTTAGATGACAACTTCTTGATTCTGTAATCCTATTGTAGCATTTTTAACATATAAAGTTAATGAAAAAACATGAATGAAGTAAACACACTAATCAAACGTACACTTGGTAATCTGGTAACCGTGTGTGCACTGGGAATCATATTTTCTCAAATATAGACCAGCTGACACTAATTTTACATGCAGTACACGGTGAATATGACATGACGGCCAAATGTATATAGCACAGCATGGTTTGAAATCAAGAATTTATAGTTAGGCTAATCTAACAGCTGGATTTGGTGAAGTTTCCAAAGTTAGATATTCAAAAACATGTTTAAAATGCATATTTGCTGGATGCAGACAGTACTGTATCTGAAAAACATAGTATAGCATTTGTCCTGTGCATGAACCCACACACAACCGTGGACATACTCTAGATTTAATCATCAGTAGGGGTCTAAACATTTCATCCATTGTTATTAAGGACGTAGCACTATCTGATCACTTCTGTATTTTCTTTGATATATTGATCTCTGCTACCACTGAATCTAGATCTGTCTCTGTCAGAAAGAGATGCATTAACGAGAACACTAGTGTGCTATTTATGGAGGCTATATCTTTAACACCAAGCATTTCTGCAGACTCTGTTGATCTTCTCCTTGATTCCTTTAACTCAAAAGTGAAGAATGTTATTGATGACATTGCTCCTTTGAAAGTCAGCAAGAAGACTGGCAGACAAAAATCAGCTTGGAGAAAATCAACAGCAGCACAGAGTATGAAAAGACAATGCAGAAAATCTGAGCGGATGTGGCGGAAGACGAAACTTGAAATCCACTATAGCATATATAAAGATAGCCTTCGTGCTTTCAATGTGGAACTAGGCAAAGCTAGACAGTCATTCTTCTCAAACCTTATAAACAGTAACTTAAACAACACTCGCACTCTTTTTGCTACTGTTGAGAGACTGACAAACCCCCCAAGTCAGATTGCCAGTGAAATGCTCTCCGACAGCAAATGCAATGAGTTTGCTTCCTTCTTTTCTGAGAAGATCAATAATATCAGGAAGGCGATTAGCACATCCCCAAGTTATGCAGAGGTTAGACAGATTCAACCACAATATCAAAAAGAAGATACTATGTCTGCTTCTGAAGAAATTGATAGCAAAATTTTGAAAGAAATAGTACAGCACCTTAAATCATCAACCTGCTATCTTGACACACTTCCCACATATTTTTTCAAAAGGGTGCTTAACTGTTTGGAAGCAGATCTCTTAGAAGTGGTGAACGCCTCACTTCTTTCTGGGACTTTTCCAGACTCCCTGAAAACTGCAGTTGTTAAACCCCTTCTGAAAAAGAGCAATCTTGATAACACCATATTGAGCAACTATAGACCAATATCAAACCTTCCTTTTATAGGAAAGATTATTGAAAAGGTAGTCTTTAATCAGCTGAACAAATACTTAAACTCAAATGGATACCTGGACAATTTTCAATCTGGTTTTCGACCGCATCACAGCACAGAGACAGCGCTCATTAAGATAATAAATGATATTCGCTTAAATTCTGAATCTGGCAAAATATCAGTGCTGGTACTACTAGATCTCAGTGCTGCGTTTGACACTGTCGATCATAACATACTACTAGAGAGACTGGAAAACTGGGTCGGGCTTTCTGGGATGGCAATCAAATGGTTCAGGTCATACTTAGAAGGGAGAGGTTATTATGTGAGTATAGGAGAGCATAAGTCTAAGTGGACGTCCATGACATGCGGAGTCCCACAAGGCTCAATTCTTGCACCGCTCTTGTTTAGCCTGTATATGCTCCCACTAAGTCAAATAATGAGAAAGAACCAAATCGCCTATCACAGCTATGCAGATGATACCCAGATTTACCTAGCCTTATCTCCAAATGACTACAGCCCCATTGACTCCCTCTGCCAATGCATTGATGAAATTAACAGTTGGATGTGCGAGAACTTTCTTCAGTTAAACAAGGAAAAAACTGAAGTCATTGCATTTGGAAACAAAGATGAAGTTCTCAAGGTGAATGCATACCTTGACTCTAGGGGTCTAACAACTAAAAATAAAGTCAGGAATCTTGGTGTGATTCTGGAGACAGACCTTAGTTTCAGTAGTCATGTCAAAGCAGTAACTAAATCAGCATACTATCATCTCAAAAACATTGCAAGAATTAGATGTTTTGTTTCCAGTCAAGACTTGGAGAAACTTGTTCATGCCTTTATCACCAGCAGGGTGGACTATTGTAATGGTCTCCTCACCGGCCTTCCCAAGAAGACCATTAGACAGCTGCAGCTCATCCAGAACGCTGCTGCCAGAATTCTGACTAGAACCAGAAAATCTGAGCATATTACACCAGTCCTCAGGTCCTTACACTGGCTTCCAGTTATATTTAGGATTGATTTTAAAGTACTTTTACTCGTTTATAAATCACTCAATGGCCTAGGACCTAAATACATAGCAGATATGTTCACTGAATATAAACCTAACAGACCACTCAGATCATTAGGATCAAGACTGTTGAGAGACTGACAAACCCCCCAAGTCAGATTCCCAGTGAAATGCTCTCTGACAGAAAATGCAATGAGTTTGCTTCCTCCTTTTCTGAGAAAATCAATAATATCAGGAAGGTGATTAGCACATCATTGTGGTCAGTCTGCACAAAATCAACAAGCTTTTTTGCTTTGCGACCCCTTTAAATACAAGATAAGCATTCGATCTACTTCAGAGCGTCCGCAAATCTTTCTACAGCGTTGTTGGCAGGGTGGCCAGAGCGATTTTTGATGCTCTCGACGGCGGCAGTGTGAACGCACAGTTAGAGGTGGTGAATGCCTTACTTCTTTCTGGGACGTTTCCAGACTCCCTGAAAACTGCAGTTGTTAAACCCCTTCTGAAAAAGAGCAATCTTGATAACACCATATTGAGCAACTATAGACCAATATCAAACCTTCCTTTTATAGGAAAGATTATTGAAAAGGTAGTCTTTAATCAGCTGAACAAATACTTAAACTCAAATGGATACCTGGACAATTTTCAATCTGGTTTTCGACCGCATCACAGCACAGAGACAGCGCTCATTAAGATAATAAATGATATTCGCTTAAATTCTGAATCTGGCAAAATATCAGTGCTGGCACTACTAGATCTAATTTTAATTGTAAATCATCTTCAAAGTTTTTAAATTCCTTGTTTTATTGTTGTGATTTATTATTTTTTATTATTTTTTTTTAATGTAAAGCACTTTGAATTACCATTGTGTACGAAATGTGCTATATAAATAAACTTGCCTTGCCTTGTCCTTCAGTTATTTGACAGAGCTGTTAAACAGAATAAACTTAGAATGAGCGCTCTTGGCTGCAAAACACTGTTAAAATAAAAGTCTTGCTTATAAAACTTATCAGCCAAATGGAAAAACTGGTTACCAGTTGATTAATGTCATTCATTTGTCATTCCTCATCTGATCTCATCTGCAATCCTGCACATACTGTAACCTTAATTTCTCTCTCTTCTCTTAACAGGATGACTCGCCGAGAGTTTTTCACTCGTTTTCCAGCCCTCTATCCCTTCCTCCTCCGTCAGCTACAGGAAGCTGCAGCCTCTGTGAACAGGTGAGAATTTCCCAACAAAAGGCCCCCTATAATATTACAGGACCCCGCAATGTGTGTGCGATTTGCGTCGGATGTTGTTAAAGAGCTGAACGATCCCAGCGTTCGCTAAATGGACCCAGTTCTTCTTCTCACCCTTCTTTAATTTCTCCGAGGCCCTTATTTAAGATCGTTTAAGTGCCCCATCAAGCCTCTTTAGACCTATTAAGCCTTTCGACCAAACTGATGGACAGATTCCTATCTGAGATTCCTCAGGTAAGTAAACCGCGTTTGGGAGTTTCGGCCATGTTGGATCCAGACCGCGCTCTTCAGCGACTGTGAGAACATGTTCGTCTCTTATCTCCCTCATTTAATTTCTCCACAGACTGATGCGCCGCTCTTCCAAATAGCACTTACATTGTGCAAGAGGCCCTTGAGCCAATATTATCTTAACATGTATCAAATTATTTTAATGCATTTTCAGTCTGGCGTTCTCTCCTTTTAGCTAAGAGTGGTCTGACTCTTTCCCACGGCCTTGTCTTTGCGTCCCGTTTGCCAAGCCAGACTCTGCAAAGCTTGTATTTTATACCTCCTATAAATGATTTCACATATAAATAAGGGTAGAGAGAAGTGCGAAGCGGTTTAAAAGTCATCAATGTCCTTGTCACCCACCAAATATGAAAGGAGCATCATGGGATGTCTGGGGGGGGAGTTTGCCGTTTAACGTGATTGAGAAGTTTTTCCTATTGAAGTTCAATCCAGAATGTTTCTTTTATCTGGAAAGCAGGCTGTAAAAAGCATGTGGGAACACTGGAATACGGTTCATCGCCCTCTTTGCAATTTGTAAACCGGTTTGCGATATGAAGATTTCACGAGCACGGATGAAATCGTGATGAATGATTGCCTCAGCTTGAGGGATTTATAACAATTTAAAACGTTTTACATGGGAAATGAGTGTCGAGAGGGTTCGGTTGGACATGCACCAGAGATGAAATGAGATGAAAAGACCAGGGCAAGTGGAGCCAAGACTGAAACTCGCTTTGCTAATCTCTCATTTTCTTCCAGTCTTATCACCTCTTCACCCTCGCTGAACTTTTTTGCTCATTTTGACGTCTTTTTCCATTCCTATGATTTATCATATTTCATTGGTTCGTTCTCGCACTCCCCTTCCAACTTTTTCTTGAATGTGCATGAGCTTTAACACTTCAGTCTCCCTGGGCTTGGAGATGATCTCAAGTTCTTGGCTGTCCCACACTGTGCCTGACTGAAATCAGACTCTAAACGCATTACCCGGGCTCTGATTAGCAAAATAGCATTTCCTGCACTCTGGCCCGGGGTCTACGGGCTCCTGGGACCCCTTGGTGGTAGGGAGTTGGGCCATGTTTGATGTAATAATGGCAAGAGTATCCACAGCTGGCAGCTGTGCCGTGGAAAGCTCACGGCGTATAGAGAACAGAACAGATTTTGGCCCTTTCAGAGTAATAGAAAGATATGAGTAATTTACATTTGTGTGTTTTCTGTCCGTTTTTTTTTCATGTGTTTGCTCTGGCTTAAGTCTTGAGTTTCCACTGGACTGTCAGAGAAACGTGCAGAAATGTAGTAAAAGAGAAAGGAAGTGAAGGGCCATTGGGTTAGTAATGGTGACCATGTGTACATGTGCTCATCTTGTCAGCTGTATGTGTTTGGAATGGCTGGTCGCTAATTCTGAAACCCTCAGCTAAAAGATCAGTTATAATATACAGGTAAGGTACATTACGTTAGTAAGTGCAGTTTAATAAGTGCTAGTTTAGTAATTAGAGAAGATATGAAGTCACATATAGGTTGGTTAAGTTAGTTCTGTTTATATGTCAGTAAGTGAAGGGCATTTAATCATTAAAGAAGTTATGAAATCACATTTAGATCAGTTCAGTTAGTAGCTTATATTTGTATCTGGAGAAAGTTATGTTATTGAAGTAAGCTATACTAGTTAGTTGGAAAAGTTATGTCACATATAGGTAAGTTAGGTTAATTCAGTTATATATGTTAGTATGAGAAGGAAGTTAAGCTAGTTACATTAGAAGTCACATACAGGTTAGTTAGGATAATTCTGTTAATTATATATGTTAGTTAATGATGGAAGTTATGCAAGGTAAGTTAGACACATTACTGTATAAAGTCATGCAGGTTAGTTCACATTAGCAAGTGGAGGAAGCTATGCTAGTAAAATAAGTAAAAGATAAGTAAGATAAGCTATAAAGTCACATACATACACAAAGTAAGTCAGTTAGGTTAGTTAATTTTGTTATATATGTTTGTAAGTAAAGAAAGTTATGTCAGTTTAGTAATTCGAGAAGTTATGAAAACACATCAAGGTAAGTTAGGCTAGTTCAGTTAGTTACTTTAGTATGTAGAGGAAGTTATTTTAGCTAACTGCATTATACAGGTTAAATAAGTTAGTTAAAGACGTTATGAAGTCACATACAGACAAGTTACAGTGGGGAAAATATTTATTTGATCCCCTGCTTTAGTTTAGTTAGTTTGCCCACTTACAAAAAAATGAAGGGTCTGTAATTTTTATGGTAAGTTTATTTTAACGGATAGAGACAGAATACCAACCAAAAAAATCAAGAAAAAAACACATTATATAAAGGTTAGAAATTGATTGCATTTCAGTGAGTGAAATAAGTATTTGATCCCCAAGCAAAACATGACTTAGTACTTGGTGCAGAAACCCTTGTTGGCAAGCACAGAAGTTGTCTCCTTCTCACCAAGCTTCTTGCTGATGGTCTTGTAGCCCATTCAAGCCTTGTGCAGATCTACAATCTTGTCTCTGACATCCTTTGACAGCTCTTTGGTCTTGCCCATGGTGGTGGGAGAGGTTGGAATGGAAGATACAGATTGTGGATAGGTGTGTTATACACCTAACGAGCTGACATTAGGAGTAACTTCTTAAAGTGACAGGACTAATCTGTGTTCCACATGGGCATGTAACCAATCTGTGGGAACCAGAATTCTTGCTGATTGGTAGGGGATCAAATACTTATTTCACTCACTGAAATGCAAGTCTCTAACCTTTATATAATGCATTTTTTTCTGGATTTTCTGGTTGGTATTCTGCCTCTATCCATTAAAATTAACCTACCATAAAAATTACAGACCTTTCATTTCTTTGCAAGTGGGCAAACTTACAAAATCAGCAGGGGATCAAATAAATATTTTCCCCACTGTAGCTTAGTTCTGTATGTTAATAAGTGAAGGAAGCTATGCTAGTTTAATAATTAGAGAAGTTTGAACTCACATATAGGTACGGTAAGCTAGGTTAGTTCAGTTAGTTTCTTGCATTAGTAAGTGGAAGAAGTTATTCTAACCTAAGTTAGAGACATTTATGAAGCCACATACAGGTAAGTTAGTTAGGTTTGTTCTGTGAAGCTTTGCTAGTTTAAGGAAGCTATGTTCTGTAATCTGTAAGCAAAGGCAAAACATTACAAAAACACGTTATTTGTGTTAGCTATGTTAGTAACTTAAGTTGTGTTAATTTAGTAGGTCACCTTAGTTGATTACATTATTACATAAGTTAAGGAAGTTAACTTGTTAGTTAAGGTAGTTACATAAGTCAAGTATTTTAGGTAAGTAAATGGAAGTCATATGTAATGTATTTCCCTTTCTCTCTCTTTCAGTGATTCAGGGCAGGTGAAGCTGCACCCCAGTCTTTTCTTGTTGTTGTTGGTTTTGGGTCGTCTCTACCCGTCTCCCATGGATGGTTCATCATCAGGTATGTATAGACATTTAGATCACCTTTAAGTGCAATGCTGACCAAGAGATGAGCTGCACTGAATGTTTTAGCTCAAAAATAAACTTTGGATTTGATTCAGCTGTCTATTTCTTAGCCCTCTAGTCTAACAAGCCACTCCCTTTGCATGTCTCTCTATCCGTCAACTCAGCGCGTCCATTCCTGCAATAGATTTTTTCCACTGCCTCCACAGTTTTTCTTCTCTTACAATCTGTAATGCTTGAGACGTGCAGCTACTGTTGCTGTTCCCGTTCACACATTTTTTTCATTGTTTAGACAGAGTAGGAAAAATATTTTCGGAACACGTTCTACAAGTACCTGTAGTACCTGTAGAGGCATCCAAACATAGACGTGTCTTTTACACACACACAAACACACAGTGAGGGATAGGTCACGGTCGTGATCCCAGAGCCAGGAGTAATCCTTTCTCCTCCCGTTTGTGTGTCACAGAACACGGTGTTCCTCCAGCTGGGGAGCAATAGATCTATATTCAGATGAAAGAAACAATAGCAGGATGGTGTTTGTCTTGGATCAAAATAAGGAGAAGTCTTGCTCCCACTGCTGCTTCTGATACCACAGCTCCTGACTTTGCATGCTACACGCATGACTGACATCATTTGAAATCTCATTGTATGTTGAATACATTCTGCAATTTCATCAGTTTTCAGGTAAAGCAATAAAATAACATGTAGGCTCTGTTGCAAAACCTCGTGAGCTGCCTTCATAGGCACATTCCCAAACATAGATGCAAACATAAAAAGTAGGCCCACACAATCTAATAATGACAAAAAAATGCAAGATAAAAAAACACTGCTTTACTGAAAGGCAAAAAAGTGCAAATGTTTGCCTTTTTCAGGCCTCTTTTTGCATTTATGATTGTCTGGATTTTTTTTTTTCAGTCTACACACCTCATGTCAGACTTTTTTGAAGGTGCAGTGAGTCTTTGGTTACTTTTCTAAAAAGTAGGCAGCTTGTGTCTTTCATTTTCCTTCCAAGATGGCAGACGAGTCAAAAAGATTGTCGTTTATAAATGGTTACAATTCCTTCAATAACAAAATTTATGAAATAGTTCAAAGTCATAAAAATGGATGTTTGTACCTAATTTGTGTATTATGAAAATTAGAGTATTTTGTCGTTAGCTTAGCAACATGCTAATGCGATAATCTCTTTAAAACAATTGTGATTCATGTACCATTAGTTACTGCCTATGTACAGTGGTCCAATTATGCCTAGTTCACACTACAGGATTTTAAGCCCGATTTAATCCCGATTTGCAAATTAATGAGCTCGCCGACAGGTTGGGCTGTGATCGGGGGGAAATCAGCGGGTGATCGGTGCTCGGCAATCTTTATGTGTGAACTACACAACGACGCATCAAAGTGGCTCGCTGACGCGTCGCTGACACCTCACCGATGGCAAACAAATATCTAGCATGCCAAATATCTGGACCGGTCGGCCGACTCGACATCACGTGGTGTCAGGTGTCGTGACGAGCTAAAGCCAATGAGAGAGCAAGGCATGGGTTGAGGTCACCGGAAGAAAAACAACAGCAGCGACATAGCTTAAAGAATAGTTTGGACACAATAAATGGAGCAAAATTTTTCATCGAGCAAACAGCTTGCAGCGCTAATTTCTTCGCGACATCCATTTTCAAATAAACAACTCCTGTTTCACGTGTTGTTTCGCGTCATTCCCATTCCAATTCTCGCATGTGTTTTCGTGACAAAACGTGGTTTGTAGAGTCGTTGGGTGACCGAGTTGTTGTCAGCTTGTGTAGTGTGTAACCCCCGGTTGCGGATCATTTACATAGTCACGTAGTGTGAACACCACAACGACTTAAAAACAGACAATCAAGTCATGTAGTCTGAACAGCACAGCGATCTGCCGACATTTACATTCGTGTAGTGTGAACTTAGGCAGGTGCCTTATAAGGCATCCTTAGGCTATGTAGACCATAGATGGCAAGGCTACTGTGGAACGAAGGATTTAAAAAAATTTTTTTTTTTATAAATTACCTTCTATGTAGACAAACTCTGAGCACATTAACTCGTGGTCACCCATGTTTACATATCAACACCTATTTAATATTCAGCAGCTTGGTGGAGTTGTTGTTACTCTAATTCACATGCAAAGTGTTTGCTGTATCATAACACAGGTTTATTTCAGTACTTCCTGTCAAAAATGTTGACAACCAAGTGTGAATTCATGATATATCTTCACCATCAGCTGTTAAGATCGATGTGATAGCGAAGTTGTTGCAAGTTTAGGCTTGATATTAACTTTTTATGATGAAGAACATCTAATAGAAGAGAACTTCTGTTGAAACCGATGGTCCTGAGAGTGACCTACTTCAGACCAAAGCTGTGAGCTCAGCAAGTTAGATAATAGTCACATGAGCATGTTGAGTACAGGTGTGTGAATGTGCACAACTGTTGTTGCCTTCCGCTTTGGTGACAAAAGCCTTGGACTCTCACCAGTTTCCCCTCTGTGACATTATTTTCACTAATGTTTATGCCTGGAATGTTCTCTCCGCCCGTTCTCATGCTCTCACACACTCTGAGGAAGGTGTTTGGGCTTCTGCAAAAACTTTAAGCATTTTTTTTCTTTTAACACAGAGTTTGATGTGTATTTTTAGTCCTCTGCATTTTTGTGGGCATTTGAACTAGTGAGAAAGTATGTGTGTTAGTTAAATCTTGTTTGGTTTTTGTGGCTTATGTGTGAATTGAGATGATGTGGCCTTTGACCCTGCATTGGAAATATTAGCGCTGCTATGTTTGGTTTAATGAATATATTATGAATGAAATGTATAAAGTAGTGGGGTAATAAATGTGATGGGACTTGCCTGGATATTGCTGAACTGCAGAGCTGGTACAAACACACCCACATTGCTATGATCAGATTATTTCTTAACTGCTGTTTTCTCACAGCTGACATTTTTGCTGTATGTTTATTTTGTTTTTGAGAGAAAAGCATTGAGCACATCTTTACATATTCATCTAAATGGCGCTCTCATTAGTGTGGAGGTTTGGGATGTTCATTCAGGGCCGTCCTTAGGGGGGTGCATCTGGTGCGGTCGCACCAGGCCCCGTGCTTGAGGGTGCCCCGCGGCGAACGCCCCCCCTCCCCGGAACGCGATCGCGAATGGACCAAGGGGGGCCCCACTCCCTACCTCGCACCGGGCCCCGCGTCAGCTAAGGATGGCCCTGTGTTCATAAAAAATATAGCACTGCGAAGGAATTTCACACTTTTAATTCATTAGCTAAACAAAAAAAAGAAAAATTCGCATTTTGAAAGCCCTGGATCATTGTTTGGGTGTCAGGGCCTGTATAGTATCATAAGTGTGTTATGAGCCCATGTGTGTGCTGCAGACATCTGGAGTGGAGCAGAGGTGTGGAGGGGCTGGAGAAAGGACCAGTTTAAGGCCTCGGATCTGGAACACAGATAACACAGAACAGAGAGAAACCGATCAAGCTCACAACTCTCATGCACGCTGAATGATCAGTGCCACCATAAAAACCAGACTCAAACCGCTTGGCCACGTATCAGCGAACGTCTCAGCCCTGCTCAAACAAACGCAAGTCCACCTGATCACACCCCTCTTCAGTTAAACCATGTCATATTATGGATGGATTTTCCTAATAGTCAAGGAATGACAGGAGAGTCAGACCTTCGGATTAATAGAAGGATCCAAGTATCCAGGATCCAGGCAGAATTCAGCCTTTCTTGGTACAGGGATGCAAGGGTTAAGAGACTGGAGGATTTGGGGTCTGCCTGGTTCTTGTCAGTGGAGGTATGCAGGCCCATTCACCCAAATGAAGCCCACATGTAGAAGATGTTAAATATAGCTTGGTTTTGGCTTCCACAGCCCCTCCTCTCCCCTAGGCGTGTAATTGTGTGTGTCTGGGTGTCCGGTGTTGATCAGGCCCCTCTTTACAACAACACAAGTTCTCAGCAAAACACTCAAATCTGAGTAGTTAATTATTGCGCTGGTTGAAATACGAGACAACCCATGATTAGTTACCTGAGTAGACTGTGATTCTGTTCCACAATCAGTGTTTAATTTTTCTTTCAGAGTTGTTTTCATTAGATTAGGCCCACGGTGTTGTCTGCAATGTTATAAATCCTACAGATCTGATTTATTTGCTGGTCACACTGTGAATTTGTATTGTGTGCCTAAGCCTCGAAAGCCTCGTCTTCGTGTCAGAGTAGATCTGTTAAGCTCCACTCTGTGAAATATTTGAGAAATAAGGCTTTGTTGGGCTTTACCGCAACAAGCTCTTTTATGTTATCCCGACTATAAGAAAACATGAGTGCATTTGAATTCGGCTGAATTTTGCACTTGTGAAAATCCATTTGTTAACATTATCACATGCTAAGCAAACATGGGTTTACACTGTGCATAAGAGCCGTGACACAAAACCCTGCTGCTAAAACCAGGTCATGACAGATTTAGGTGGTCATGCTGGTTTTTGTAACATGTTTTTTTTTTATTGTCGGGCTAAAATTATTTTTGCCACTTGGCCTTAGGATAATGTCAACTGAAATTATTAGGATTATTATACTTAGGATTATTTATATAACTAATTTAATTCATTTAAAAAAAAAATTTAGCTTTATTTCAATTGGCAAAAATGGTGTTTAATAGCTTTCATTTTAGTTTCTCCAAACTTTTAGTCCAGATAAACAGGATGTTTAAAGAGGAAAACTCTTTTATTTTTTTTTTTTATTTTTTTTTTATCCACTAGGAATTGATTGGGTTGTGAAAAGTAGGTGTTACACATCAAAATTTTGTCGTACTTGAGTGGATGTTTGTCATGAAGAAAGGTTGATATTTTATCCCAAGAATCCATATTTCTTTGAGCTTCTACTTTCTGGAAACCAGGTTGGCAGCCAAAAAAACTTGACATATACCATTTCTAGTTCTTCTTTTTGTCCTCCTTTCAAAACCTTTTATTGATTTTTGCATTGCATATAATGAAAAA